TACCACGACGACCAGGACGACGAGACGAAGAGATCTCCGTCGAGATCGCCGCCGTCCACCACCGCACGCGCCGCCACGCGCCGCCGGAAGGTTCCAGCTGCTGAGGACAACGCGCGCACGTGAGAGCACGTGAATCGACCTTTTTTGGATCGGTCAACGCCGTTGACTTCGCCGTGACGTCAGCTTTTTGGATTGGTCAAGTTTGTTCGATTCCGAGAAGATTTGATTTGCGATCAACTGTCCGGGCCAACCAGATCTACATAAATTTTAAGCAGTAAGTTTTCTTCATCAAACCTTTAGATCCGCTGCGCATAGGTTTATGTTGAATGTTTGTCCGTGATTTGTGCATATCGAGATCTTCGTGGGTTCCAACACTACAGGAGCGGGGCACAGGTTCACACAGGCCACAAAACTTTAGAGAATTGTACAACCTTCGCCATGCTAAGGCTAGAAATGCGATTGAACGTTCGTTTGGCATTTTGAAGATGCGATGGGCAATTCTTAGGAGTTGCTCATATTATTCCATTCGAACCCAAAATCGCATTATCATGGCATGTGCGCTCCTTCACAATTTCATACGGACATCCATGGCCTATGATCCCATTGAATCATTAGTTCCTGAGATTCCTGACGATGGGTTGCCTACAGCTAATGGTGAAGATGATTTGATAGACCAGGTGGAGGCTAGCCCAGAATGGCACAGTTTCGTGACCAATTGGCACATGATATGTTTAATTATTGGGAGGATAATGTGCTTTAGTTTAAGAAATTTTTTTTAGTACGGTGACCAAATACCTGTCTAATTTTTTAAACCACTGCATGTGTCACGGATTTTTATTCCTGCTTATTTTGTTTCGATTATTTATTTGTCGAATTTTGTTGAGAAATTCATTAACCATTATTATTGAATTTACCAGAATAATGATTTGGGGCAATTGTGAATTGATTATTCATATACGATAGCGTTCATGGTTTTTATCATATATTGATTGCACCATGGATTTACCATAAATTGATTGTGACCATGGTTTTAATCTTAAGAATCCAAAATAAATCCTTTGGTGCGAAACGATTGGTAGAACAGGTACCACCATGGACTATTCATGTAGCCAGGAAACTGGGCGAGCCTCCTCCTCACAAACAGCAAGACAACGTACTTGGAGTCCGGCTGAGGAGGTTGCCCTAGTATACATTCTAAAAGACATGGTTTTAGAGGGGTGGAGAGCTGATAATGGTTTCAGGCAGGGGTACAATTTTAAAATTTAAAGAAGATTGAAGTTGAAGTTTTCAAACTGTACCCGTCGTGCAGACCCGCACATCAGCTCAAAGATACATGTGTGGAGAAAAAAACGATGTGAGTGTGGCACTCATCAAGTCTAATTCAGGATTTGGCTGGAGCGAGATCACTAAAACTTTTTCCTACGATGATAAAGTTTGGACAGGATGGATGAAGGTAAGATAATACTCAAAAATCAAGTCCATTAATGTCAACTAATGTTTTGACAGACAAAAAAAAAAAAAAAAAAAAAAAAAAAAAAAAAAAAAAAAAAAAAAAAACTTCAGGAAAACAAACCATCCCCATAAAAAATTATGCACATTCGTCGTATTTAAATAATGTAGGTAGATCCAACTGCGAAATCACTGAGGAACAAGTCTTTCCCATACATCAACGACTGGGTGGAAATTTTTGGGAAAGATAGAGCAACATGTGAAAATGCACAGGCCGTTGAGGACGCAGCAAATGATGTCCCAACGTAGGACAACCCAGTGTCGGATAATGACGACGTCCCATCAGATCAAAACATCGGAGATGGATCCCCAGGTCTTGGCATGGGTAACACATCTGGTACGACGTCTGAGTCCGGTACGAGGGTTAGAAAGAGAAAGAAAATTACCAAAAGGATTGCAGAGAGCCAGTGGGAAGGATGATATCTGGATATCATGGACTCATTCTCTCAAAAGACAGCAGAAAGCTTGAACGGCATTGCAAGTAAGCTTGGGTTTGAGCACGATGAGGAGAAAAAAAGAAGTGTAGTTTTTGACTCATTGTCTAACATGCATTTCTTGTCAAATGAAGATAAAATGGTCATCACCATGCGTCTATGTAAGAACCCACAAGAACTCTCCATGTTCTTCAGCCTGTCCCAGGACAACAAATGTCTCATGGTTAAAATGATGCACGAAGGACGACTGTAGGCTACTTGTAATGGCGTTGATTTGTCTTGATAGGAGTTACTAGTTCATGTGGGGTTTGTGATATGGCTTTTGAAGACTTACTGTTTGTCTGATGTGTTTGTTTTGATGTGGGTTTTGAAGACTTAACAGTAGTATTTATGGTTGTATTATTTTGCTGGTTTAGTTATGTTGGTTCTTTTTTTTATGTATAACTGATGACTTTGATGTATGTAAAACTTTGTACTATCGTCTTCTGAATTCTCTTCTTGGTTTTGTTGTGTTCTTTATCCGTATTTTTTTGTATAATTGCAAATGAAAAGTGTTGAGGTTGTTTATGCGATTCTCCTTTATTATGTTTTTTGAAATCTTGTGACCACAGATATAGGATGGACAACATGGATGTTGATGCTAACGATCCTTATTTTTTCAAGGTTGTTGTCTTTTGCACACTTCATACGATGGTACGTTTGTTTATTTTACTTTTGCATTGTTATTTCATTAAATTCACACTTTTGTAATTGTCTTTTCCAAAACGTATGCCTTTAGGCATTGCCCCCCGCCACACACCACCATTACCGTGGTGTCGTGTTTCCACAGAGGTTCAGTATCGAGACCATTGAAGGCCGTAAGTACGAGACGACTTTGACTATGGTGAACAACTGCCCAACATTAGTGGATAGATGGAGAGATTTCATTCATTCGGAAGACATAGCCATAGGCTACTTCCTGGTTTTCCATCCCAGGATGATATTTGACTTTCAAGTGTGGGTGATGCAGCCCAACGAATGTGAGAGGCAGCCGCAGTACACCTTCACTCTGGAAATTAAGCCAACTCATGTGGAGTGCGCACGTTTGGTATGTTGTTCCGTTTAGTTTTGACAGGAATTTTATATTTTATATCCTTGTTTGTAATTTTCAATTTGCATATCGTATAACATCTGTTTTTATCGTGCATTTCATTTTAGGCAATTCCTATGCAGTTTTGGAGGGGTTTCACTCAAGGGCAGTACGTGAACTACAACTCTGTAATTTTGCAGTTTGGCGACAACCTGTATGATGTTGATATAATTCGCGGTCATGGAAAAAAACTCATTCAGAATGGTCGTGCACGACAGTTCATCGATAACAACAAAATTGGTGTAAGTGATGTTTGCACGTTCATTCTCCTCCCACATGACAAAGTCATAAAATTCAAAGTTAAAATTTAGTGGATTTGTGAAATCTGAAGTGGAGCGTGTGAAATTTTGGGTTGATATTGCAAACTTATCGGGTATGATATTATGAACTTGTGTGAAGGATGATGCAAACTTTGTTTTATTGGATTTCTTTAGCTTGTCGAATCATGTTGGACACTAGGATTTGGTTATACACTTTTGGTATTTCGGGTATGATGTTTTTGCACTTGTGTGAAGGATGTTGCAAACTTTGTTTTGGATTTCGTTAGCATTTGAGGATGGGTGTTGGAAACTTGGATTTGATTATGGATTTTTAGGTACTTGGGTTTTTAATGGTTTGTGTTATGTTCGTATGTTTTCACTTGAACTTGGTGTAGTTGTTTTGAATTACGAATTTGATGGCACGAAATGTGGACTTCACCATAGATACAACATTCTAATCATACGTTACTAACGCAATAACAATTCATTCCACACGAAACTGTGGCAACACAACGTAGTACCCAAATTAGGAGGTGGGTAACAAAAAAACATAAGTATGACAACATTGACTAACAGAAACAGTTAGAAAAACAAGGCAAATAACACATCGACGGACTTAGTACCACGGCTAATCCGGCTTGAAATTCGGGGTGGTAGAACATGCTGTGGATGCAAAATTTGCTTCTGGGTCATCGGCACGACTCTGAGATGCGTTGTAGTTCGTTGGTTGATTGACGGATCCATCGGTTGACCCTGTATGACTATGAGTAGAACATGTTCGGTTCGGGGCCTTTGAAGAACTACCCATGTAAAAGGGCGAACGTGGTGGTTGTTTTTTTCGCGGGATGTCCGTTCGGTTCGGGACCTTTGGAGTGTAGTTCTCAACGTCAACAATTTCAACACCTTTGTCATCGCCTTTTTTTACATTCTTGTCTTTGTTATCACTGTCAAACAAAACATAGTACTCGAAAGAAGGTACGTACAACGGTTCCACGTAGAACAACTCGACGATCTTGTCATGCTGGGGATCACCTTCCTCCATGTAAGCTAACGAAAATTCATCCCACTACACGAAAATGAACATTTATTTAGTTTGCAAGTAAAACATAGCTGAAATGAAGCCATACATACATAATTTGGATAACTCACCGATAGCAACTGATGCCACTTGTTGTCCGAAGCATGGTAAACGTTCATCGTCGCATCATATTCAACCCCATGTTTATGTTTAAGTTGTGAGAAAATGTGGTATCTCTTGCCTAAATTTTTGACACGTTCGTTTATATATTCGGACGTAAAACTCTTGCGAAACCACGCATTGATGGCAGTCGTAGCATACTCGATTCCCTCAGTGTTACTTGCAAAAGGAACAAATAGACCAACATGTTTCTTATCAACCAAATAATGGATTAAAAACTCATCCAGTTTTGGGGTCCAATGTAGGTCGTACAAATAGTGCGTGCAAAAGGATAATACTGACTAAACCAAAACTGGGAGCCATCGCAATTTTAGATCTTTCGGTTATAATTATTTTCAAAACGTAAGTGTTTGTGGTGATAGTTCTAAGAATTGTTTGTGTTGAGTGCAGTGGGGTTGCTTAAATAGAAATGATTCGGCCTCACTAGCAATAATGCAGAAGATGATAAAAGCCACAAGATATGGTCTTCAATGCCATCAAATTGAATGAATTCAACTTTGTAGAAAAAGTTGAAAGGTGCCTGTAGGCGTGCATTGAAGGTCATATCATGTACTGTTGAGTAGTAATTCGGTACAGATGGATTAAACAGCAATAATTGGTAGCAATAGTTGGCTCAACGATTAAAATACATCATATAGGTGCAAGTATCACTATGAAAAAAAAGTACTTAAATTAGTTTACAAAAGTGGTTTTTTTCCTTTGAGGCTATCAACATCTGCCTCAACATTCGTAACGCGATTGGAATCACTTTCCACATCCGGGTGGACCGTCTCCCTGCCTACCTTACCAAAAATTATTTGCAGTTTCGACCATTGCGGGTCTTCCATATTTTGGTACGCTAGACTGGTAGGTTCATCCTGTAAAATAAGTAATGTCAATTACACAATTAGATAACAAAGTTGTTGTTATGTGATTGTTAACAACGATGTAATCTATGATTAAGAAAGTAATTTGGAAGGATTTGAACGTAAAGCATGTCAAATTGCATCAGCAATGGCCCCGGTCCGAGGTGAACCGAGGTGAAGAGCCGTGAAGGGCTTTTACGTGTTATGTGGTAAAGCGTTTACAGTTCGGTAATTTTAGAAAACCCAGATCCCTTTACAATTGCCATAGGTCCACTATTTATAGTAGTTTTTGGGTTGAGGCATCGGGATCCGTGTACTACTTTTTGGAATAAAGTAGCTTTTTATGGGCGGTCGAGGCAGAGGGTCCCACGCAAATGATGACAGATCTTGTGGAGTAGGAGGACCTTACGTAGATGCCTTGTCACCTGCTTAAGGAGATGACGACCTCGGTTCATGTTGTCCTCGGGGGATGTTGACCTCGGTAATAGTCGGTCATTTCGGTCTTTGGTGGTTCAGACCGGTTCTTTGGTGTAGATCGGTGCGGTTATGATTCATGTCGGTTTAACGGTTAATTGCGCTTAATAAGATGCTCAAAACCTCTTACCAGCGTCTTGCCGAGTGGGATGATAACAAAAGTATAAATATATGATTACCTTGGAATATGATCATGATACGTATACTAATATCCTCTTACATGCTTCTTTTGGTCCCCACATGAGCCCACTCTCACAGCAGTAGTTGATACCAAGGTTTGTAATCATCTCCCTCATCACCCTATGCCTTCCTCTAAATTGTTGAAACCTAAGCTCACACTCTAATAAAGTATATGACTTACCGAACTCAATGGTCGACATATCCGTGCTTAATGTAAACAATGAGTACTCGTCTTTTTTATTGCCTTGGAGTAACAACGGCAAATGTGGTTGTGTTGATACCAACAAGCATGCAAACGACTCGTCAACCTCAACTGTCCATTTTTCGTTAAACAAATATTGTTTTTGCTCGGGCGGGATGTGGAATTCCATAGCTGTTTCATGTACAAATATAAAAATTGGACAAACATTTCATATGCTTTAAATTATTGCACAATTTGTTATTAACATAGCTAAAACATCCTGTTCATCCCAGATAACGAGTTATATCACAACTATACTATAATACCAATGAAATAATACAAACACTTCATGGTTAAGCACATTAAAGCACTTACAGCAACAAAAATAAAATAATACAAACACTTTAAAGGCCACAAAATAACCTGAACAATAAATCTGAAACTTAAGCACTTACAACAGCAAAAAACAACACAAAACAAGTTCAATTTCTTGTAAAAGCATGGAAAAACAAGACTCAAATATAAAGCACTTCATGCATCTTCTTTTTCTTTCATTTCTCAAAATTCATAAAAAAAAATATACACAATAAGGCTAGACACCCCCATAATATGCACGTCTCTTTTGATTTAATAACTAGGGCATGTCAATCACCCTTTTAGTCACTGAACTAAGCATTAGAAACCAACATAAGATTTAATTTGAAAGTACAGCAGCATGGCAACAAAACAATCTTCAATCATGGCTCACCACAATCACAATCCAAATGGCCAAGACTACACGCCACCAACGCTTTTTTTTTTTTTTTTTTTTTCTTACACCTTCCCAGAAGACTAACCAACGTTCAAATAGTCCTGACAAACAACACTTGTAACGCAAGCATAGAATTCATAAAAAAACACATCTTATCAGCAACATAAAACATACATACAAATTGTCGTTGAAGAGAGGCAAACACTACTGAAAGAAAATGGTAAAATTAGGCTGATTGTACATACATCACAGAAGAATTGCCTAATCTCAGCAAGAAGTCATATTTATCTAGTTACATAACTGAAGAAGTGTTCACATATTTATCTAGGTAACATAATATGTTATCAAATTTCATCTTATAAGCGGGTAAATACGCAACATTCAACAAGGACAGATGAACTGAGATTGAAGTGTATGCAAACTAATCATGTCCAGCCTATGTAACATATGAATTTCCCCAAGTTTAGCCCCAGGCAGATACAAGTCACCATTATTCAAGCATCTGCTACACTACAATATTCATATGATTGTTATGTAATTGATACCTAATAAACAGTCCTGACAAATATGCATATTATGGTCAAACAAATGAACAAGCAAGCTACTTGTTTTTTTAATGATGTACACAGCCTGAACTTGCATTTACCTATTCACCTCATGTTTGAAATAATTTTGAAAATATAATATCCACATCCTCAAACACAGTCTGATACTTAACATGACGACCGATAAAAAAAATGGAACAAACTCAGGGCATGAACAATTGAAGAACGACGCTAACTTCATGACAAAAATCTGTAACCTAAATCGTACAAAAAAAATTGCGTTTCAATCAAAATCCCAGATGAACTTCGAACTTTACCTCGTGCAATTGGCGTTCACATTTTTTCAAACAAAAACAACTGCTGCTCTTGCCGTTCACGTTATCTCCTCCCCTCTTCTCTGAAATCGATAAACTACGGTCGTAGGGGGAGTGAATTTCGTCAAGGATTTTTCGTCAAAAGAATTTTCTCCAAAATCAAAGAGCGAGATCGAAGTTAGGGTTGCTGCAGAGATTGTGAGAACGACGGGGTAAAAAAAAGATGGAAGGATAAATTTGTATTGTGATATATAACACATTTTTATTAATCATGTGTAGTAAATAAAGGATTTAATTAGGAAAATATTGTGTCATGTCCAGTAAACAAGGGACAGAATCTGATGTGGCAAACCGTGGCAAGTTGGAGGAATTATATTGTTTAATCCTCTCCTTGCTAGTAAACGAGGCCTTTATAAAATATGTATCTAAATTGCAAAAAAATAAATAAATAAATAATGTATCTAACACATTAAATAAAGTGTGTGTATTAAATTTTTTTATAATTGCATATAAGCCCTTTGCAATAAAGTGAACAACCAAAGGACTTAGGGCTTGCTTGTTTACCAATTAATTTACCCACTTTTATTTCAACTCAAAATTTAACTCAACTTTAACACAACCCCACTATCTTTAATTTATTCATATAATTAAATAATACAAACCAATCATTTTTACACATCACATCAACTTTAATTCACTATTCATCAACTCACATAATTTTAACTACCTATCATTTCCAATCATTTTCAATCATTTATCTCTTACTTTTACATCAAATCAACTTTAATCATTTTATTTTAAATATTATTTAATACATTCTTAAAATTTCACTACAACTAATCATACCACATTTTTCAAAATTAACTATGGTTAACTAAAATAACTCAATTTGAATAAATTATTTCATAAACAAATGAAGCTCTTAATTACGCAACCAAATCTATTTTCTATACATGTGGCTCGCCTTCTTCAACATCCCAAATAAAGTGAATAATCAGCCCGCCGCGGCCCTTCGCCACGCGCTGACGCGAAACGACTGGCCCAACCGTGACGAAATTCGATCCATTTCCTCCGCCGCCGCCTTGCAGATCGAAGGCGCTGACTCCGATCCAAATCATCCACCGTAGGCCAGATCATGTGGGACTTCCAAAAGCACATATTACGACCGGGGTTCCAGCTGAGATGGCGACCCAATTCTACTTTCTCTCTCCTCCAAACCCTAGGTCTGGAGCTGGATATCGCCGGAGATCGCCTTTCAAGGGTTTAGCTCGGTAAATTTCATCTTCACTGTTATGATTATGTCGAGATTTGTTACGGGATTTTGTAGAGTTCAATCATCGTTTCGTTTATTGTGTTTGATTTTAATTTTTTTTTTTATGTTTTGTAGATTCTTTAATGGTTAATGGAGATGGCTCTGTTCATCTGTTCCTAATGGTAAGTTGCCTCTTGCTCTGTTCAAAATCTTTGTTTCCTTTTGTTTTTGTTTTTTTCTTCATAAAAATGGTATATTTTCTATTTCTTTGAGTTGTGTTGAAGATGTGATTAGTTGTTCTTTTGTATGTATTTGTGTTGATGGTGTTTTGAATGAAATTAGGTTTGATTCAGTTCTCCACTTTTTATATGAAAGTTCCTATTTTGAATGAAATAAGTAGGTCTGATTCAGTTTGTATGTAACTTAATTTTCGGCAAATAAAGATGATGATACTAGATTGGCAAACACTTATGTGAAAGTTCTCCACTTGCTTATAAAATTGGCAAACGCTGTGGGAGGACTGAGGATACTAGATTGCTATAAAAATTTGAGGAGTACAAATTTATGCTATGCTTCGATGCTTATTCAGATCTACAAGTCATGGGAGGGGGCCGATGGCGAGGTCAAGTTTCACGAATGTGCCCATGAGCGAGTTCGGGTTCTCGCAGTCCAAGCTTCTATTGAGGCTCCATTATCCTTCCCAAGGTTATCAGTTGCGCGTCTCCATATAATCCTTTTTTCTCAAATGGCAGAATCAGACGTCTTTCTCAGTCTTAGCTTGGCGTGTTGATTAATTAAAAAATTAATCACTTGGTAACTTAACTTCTTTTCGATATGTCATGTGTCATTGATTAATTATTAATTAGTTTGTTACATGGAAGTTGTCTCCTTCTACTCATGGTCCAAGGTGATTTGCAGATTAGGACTGTATGGGAGGTGAATATGAAATTGGGACTTCCGGTGACAACCAAGAAGAAGAGTTAGGGATGAGAACATTTCATCATGCGGATTGGCATGGATCATTGCCTCAAGGTACTGATTAGTAAAGTATATTTTCCTTTTTTGCATGATATATATTAGTTCAGCTCAGCTCCCTTTGTCTCTTTCTTTTTAGATATTTTCATTGAATTTCTTGGTTCAATTTGTGCAGTGTGTGTTAGGCTCTCTTGTTATTTGTTGTATGTGCGGTTTGTATTTGTCTCTTCATCCTCTATTGATAGACCTTGATTTATGTCTTTATATACATACTAGTTTTTCTCTGTCTTTTTTTTTTCTATGCTTCCCCATAATGAGAGCTTGTTAGGAGTCTGTTAATTTTAGCAAGAGGGCATTGTCACTTTCTTGAATAGATATTGTGATTTTCTTCTTTTACCCACTTTGTAATCCTTTGGTTTACAAAAAATAAAAAAGTAAAAATATATTGTTTTATTTTGGGGGACTAGGGGTGCCGCGGTGGTGTCCACTTCAGCGATGTTCTTGTCTGCAACCTGTCGGCTGTCGACAATGGCTTGGAGCGGCCTGCGGACGTTGGGTTCCAGGCTGGGCCCTCGTGATAGCCACAGCGCGTGCGTTCTGGGCCACCGCATGTTTGTCTTTGGGGGCAATGACGGGTTGCGAAAGGTGGGCGAACTCCGATGGCTCGACCTGAGGACCGGAGAGTGGGCCCGACCCGAGTGTCGTGGAAGCCCACCGCCGGCCTGTGAGAGCCACACAACGACCGTGGTTGGGCCGTTTGGGAACGATGGCTGGTCGTGTTCGGGACCAGTAGGGAGGGGGAGGCCAAACTATTTTAACGACTTGCACATTTTGGATCTGACAAGCATGGAGTGGTCGTCCCCGAAGGTTGGGGGTGCCGGCCCCTGGCCCTTGACAGCCACAGCTCGGTGGCCGTTGGAGGGGACTTGGGAGATAGGTACCGAGGGGATGTTTGGGTGCTCGATTTTTTCTTTTTCGGAAATCCTATCATGATTAGGTTTGTTAACTTTTTTTTTTTTTTTTTTTTGGATTTGGCTTTAGGTGGATGCTGGTGGTCCTTGGCCGAGTGCACGCGCGGGTCATGCTTTCGTGAGTATTAGCACTAAGGCGGGTAGTGATATTTTTGTCAAAATCTAAACCTACAATTTTATTTTTATTATGTGCTTGGTTGAGCAAGTGACTCTTATAGATTACAGGATGTGAATGCTTATAATTTCAAGAATCCTGTTTTGCTCTTTTTTTTTTTTTTTTAATAAAACATCAAATTAGCATAGATAAAACTCGAAAATGTACAACCGTATAACCAACGGGTTAAAAACCAACTTTCCAAACAACAGCTGTAAGAAAAGGCTGGACAGAGGGAGAGCCCAACACAGTGAGCTCCCCTAAAAGACCACACGGCCATAATCTACAGAAAAACAATAAAAAAGAAAAAACCTACAACCAAAAGGACTGAAAGCAAAAACAACTAACAGCAAGCAACAAAAGACCAGCTATCAATACATGACAGGAGCTGAAAAATGTCTTCTAACACCATAGTGAAAGCAGCAGCAAAGATTTTTTGAGAGTTTAGCCATTTCCTGAGTTGGGGATCCTTCACATAGATCTGAATCTCTTGCCATTTCATGTCTTGCCCCTCCATTAACCATTGTCTGATCTGAATAAGTTCATTTTCCACTGAACACCTCACAGTATCCCTAGAAATAAACCACTCCCTAACTATCTCACAATTGATCCAGGCCACTCCTTTCACATAACTTCCTGGTACACAAACATCATTAGCACTGGGATCAACCAACTGACCCCCTACTCCTTGATGCTGACCATCATTCATAATGCTCCCCTGATTTCTGCAATCTGCCATAGCCTGATCATATTCCAGCCATTCACTGTGTGCACCTGCCACCAACTGCCTTTCTGAGCATTTTTCTTTGTTGAAGAGCCAATTGTTCCTCGTTTTCCATAGCCACCACAGGATATAGGTTGAAAGAGCAGCCCTGTCTTGCCCATAATCTGCCTTCTTAGCATAACAGACATCCTCCCACCAAGATTTAAATTCCATAGTCTCTGTCTGCATCGTGTCCCATGAAAGTCCTGAGAGCTTCCACACAGTTTTAGCTCTGTCACACAAAAACAGCAAGTGCACCAAGTCTTCCTTATTGTCTCCACACCAACAGCATATACCATCCACCTCAATCCCTTTCTGCCTTAATTTATCAGAGGTGCTCAAGCAGTTGAAGTAACATCTCCATATGAAGTTTTTGATCTTGCTCTTAATGGGGAGTTTCCATGTCACTTTCCACACCATCTGTTGAGTTTGATTGCCAGTACTACTTTCCACCAGCCCCTGCTCATCCTTTTTCTTATTCTGAATAGTGTGATAGGCACTTTGAACAGTGAACAGTCCTTTCTTGTGAGGTAGCCAAATTAGTCTGTCTTTACACCCCATTTTGCTTATATGGATCTTGAGAATGTTTGCAGCATCCTGGGGATTAAGAGTCTGCAGCACCAGTTCACTATCCCAATCACACCCCCCTGCAATCATAAGATCAGCTACTTTGCACAATCTCACAGTATCCTTAGGAAAGGGACATTCAGGGTAAAAATGATTAAGCTTTGGGATCCAGGGGGAATTCCAGATATCTATGGACTGCCCATTGCCAACCAAGTAACAAGCCCCCAGTTTAAAAGATTTTCTAGCTTCTAACCACCCTTTCCAAAGCCAAGAATCACTGGCCTTTTTTTCCACCTCCCAGAACTTCCTCTGAAAACAATATCTACCCCTCAAAACCCTGCTCATCAAAGTGTTTGGCTTTGTCAACATTCTCCAAATCTGCTTTAAAATTAAAGCTTCATTGAAGTCACTAAAAACTCTAAATCCCAACCCCCCTTCACTCTTGGGCTTGGCTAATCTATCCCACCTTAACCAGTGAATCTTGTTCCCTCCCACCCCATTGTTTCCCCACCAAAAGTTGGCAATAGTTTGGCAAATGTCATTGCATATACCCACAGGAAGTCTAAACACAGACATGATATAAATGGGTAAGGCAGCCAAAACAGTTTTAATGAGAATTTCTCTTCCTGCCTCACTAAGAAATTTGTTCTTCCAGTTTGCCACTCTAGACACCACACACTCCTTGAAATAAGAAAAAGTATCTTTTTTGGATCTTCCTATACCCAAAGGGAGCCCAAGATATTTGGAATATTTAGCAACAACCACTCCTCTAAGAATTTGACAAATGTCAGACTTGACCAAATCAGGAGTATTGCCAGAGAAAAAAATGCTGGATTTGTGCATATTGACAGCTTGTCCAGACATGGCAAAATAGGTGTTAAGAATAGACAACAAAACATGAGCCTGACTAGGCTTGGCCTGACAAAAAATGAGGGCATCATCTGCAAAAAATAGATGGGATATAATGGGGGCATGCTTACTGATTTTTAGCCCTTGGAATTGATTAGAGAGACTGGCTTGATCAATCAAATTGGAAAAAGCTTCAGAGGCTATAATGAACAAATAAGGTGACAAAGGGCAGCCTTGCCTAAGACCTCTAGAAGGCTTCACATCCCCCAAGGCTTGACCACAAAAATTAAAAGAAAAAGAAGAAGTACTGATACAAGCCCATATCCAGTTAATGAACACCTCACAAAAACCCATACACCTACACACATTCAAAAGAAAACCCCATTCTAGTCTGTCATAGGCTTTTTCCATATCTAATTTAAGGGCCAAGAAATGATTTTTGCCTTTTTTCCTACCATTTAAGTGGTGAATACACTCATTTGCAATAACAAAATTATCTAAAATTTGCCTTCCAGGCACAAAAGCTGCTTGAGAATGAGAAATACAAGCATGAAGAACAGTTTTCAGTCTATTAGCTAAAATTTTAGCAATAATTCTATAGGTAATAGTGCATAAACTAATAGGTCTGTAGTTGACAATAGTTTTGGGATTTTTGATTTTGGGAATAAGGGTGATGACTGTATGGTTAGAAGCCTTAGGGATACAACCAGAAGAAAAAAAATTGGACACAGCTAAAAAAAGATCAGATTTAATAACATCCCAGGCAGATTGAAAAAAGAGGGGAGAGTATCCATCAATACCTGGAGCTTTGTTTGGGTCCATATCCCACAAGGCCTTCTTGATTTCTTCTTCAGACACTGGATTAGTGAGATTCTTGTTCATATCTAAAGTGATAGTTTTCTGAATTCCTTTTAAAGCATCAAGATTAGGCCATGGGTTCTCAGAAGTGAACAGTTTCCCAAAGTATGCAGTAACTTCCTCAAGGGATTCCTCTCTGGTCTGACATTGATCACCATTTAACCTCACCAGATGATCCAGGCTGTTTCTCTGCCTCCTCTGCTTGACACAGGCCTGAAAAAATCTTGTGTTCTTATCCCCTTCCTTAAGCCAGCTCACTCTGGCTTTTTGCTTCCAGAATATCTCCTCTTCCCTGTAAGCCTTATGGACTGTGTCCCTACATTCTGCCCAATCCTGCCAATTTCTATCACCACCTTGATTACCTAAGATTTCCAGCTGAGCATTGCAAGCTTGAATAATCTTAGCTGAGTTGGCAGTCTGCCCACCTATCCACCCCAACAAACCAAATTTGACCTGCCTCAACTTCTTTTGAAATTTATATAATCCAGGACCCCTACACTCTCTGTCCCAAGCTTGCTTGATACACTCTTAAAAACCTTCGAGCTTAACCCATCTATTATCAAACATAAATCTCTTCCTGACAGGTTCCCCAACCTTCTCATTTATCATCAACAGCATATTGTGATCTGAGGACACTAGAGGAATGTGCAAAACATGGGTCTCAGGGTATAGTAAAAGCCAATCAGGGGAAAAGCAAACCCTATCTAACCTCTCAGCCACAAACTCCTCCCCAGCCCTCAAATTAGACCAAGTAAAAGTATGTCCCACAGTGGGACATTCCATCACACCCAGATTCTGAAGAAACCCTCTAAAAGATTGAAAACTGGACTCTCCTTTCACCACCCCCCCTTGTTTCTCCTCCCCACTAATGATGTCATTAAAATCTCCCCCAATGAACCACACATCCCCCCACCTAAGTTGATGTCTATTGAGCAACTCCCATTGATAAGATATCTCAGAGGAGTTAACACTAGCATACACAAAGACACCCCACATGCAGTTTTTGTCTCCATACAAAGAGAACTTGACCTCTAAGCTAAACTGGTTATCCACAATTTCATGCACAGAGACTCTATCAGACCAACATAACAGCAAACCACCCTTTGATCCAACAGGATCCACACAAAACCACTTAGACTCTACATGCAAATTTTTACAAACAGTAGACACAAAAGCTTTTTTTTTTTTGGTTTCAGATAAAAATAGAAAATCAGGGAGGTAGGATCTAAATTTTTCCTTCAACTGGGAAATTGTAGAGGGTCCTCCCAAACCTCTACAATTCCACACCATAACCCTCATTTGGAAACTTGGGACCAGTTATGGCTGGTTTCCTCCACCTTTTTTAAAGACAAAGACTCTTTATTTTTTTGTTTTTTAAAAACAGACTCCAAAACTTCATTATTATTTGAATCCAACACAGGCATTTTTCTTTTAAGAACAGACACCCCAGCATGATCACCAGACAGGGCAAGAGTAGAGACAACATTCTTATTTTTAGTCTGGTCTTCCATGTTCTTGCTTCTAGCAACTTTAACAAAAGTTCTTTTTGGTTTTGTACTACCAGAACTATGATGAGAAGATTGCACCATTACATCGACCAAGTTATCCTCAACCACCCTTTGCCCCTTGAGAGAGTCTAAATCCATAGGAGTTACAGACATAGGACCAACATTAGTGGGATTACCAACAACATTTTCTGTGCTAACCACTACCCGGGGACCCTCACTAATCACAACAGGGTTTGCCTTATCTGCAACCACCTCTACCTCCACTGGTTTCTCCCCCACACTCCCCTTACTCTTCCCACCATCCCCTTCTGCACCCGGACTACCCTCCTCTCTCCCTTGCTTATACATTTGACTAGACTCAATACTATCAATTTTCCCGGCTAAGGAGGTCTCCAGTTTCAATCGAAGTAGGGCACCATATTTTGCAAAT